CTATCACTTACTAATCGATTAAATTTTAACCTTTATATTTGACAATTTTGATACTAATCTAAAATTTGGATAACCGAAATAAATACATTGGGAAGAAATCATGTTTACCAGCAGTTTTCTGTATTCGTTTCTATAATTGTGTGCGTATATGTGTGATTTTGTGTTGATTGATTTCTTTTCCAATGATTTTTTGTGTAGGAACAACAATATGTGGGTTTATTTAAAATTCCAAATGGTGAAACAAGGTATTTCAAAAAGTATAGATCAGTAGTTACGTTTTGATTTTGTATGCCCTTGTTCTTACAATGACCACTTCTCACTCTCTCGTTATCGTTCTTCCCACCTAGTACAAAGCTATACCATGACAATATTAATGTCGAATATTTGTGTTAATGAAAAAAAAACTAGGTTAGAAGTGTTAGCTTTGATCTTGATGAAAAATGTCAAAGCAGAATATAGTGTGAATAAAGAAGTATGTTTATTTGCAAAAAGTTTGTGAAAGATTTAAAAAGAGTTGAATAGTGGCTAACAATGGAATCTAGATTGTACGTTTCGACATATTTGCTAGTCCTTTGGTAAATATAACTGTTAAACTGATCAGTCGAAGTCGTTAACATCAACTAAGAACAAATATAAACAAACAGTACAAACAAGTTTAAAATTCTATCTCATTCCATAAGTCAGTGTGTATTTGGACTCACTAGCTTAACGGATAACACGTTAGGCGCATAAAGTACATGGCTTATTGAAATAGGTAGTGCTAATGTTGTCGAGAAAGACAATGATAACTTCAAAACTAAATAATACAGCTCAAAGAATACAATACTTCTTAAGTTGACCATTCTGTTCTATCTAAATGTTGACCTACTACCTAGATAGGTTTATTCAATTTCCATTTACATTGGAGGTGAATTTTTAATTAACTAATGTTATTCCACTGTGCTTGATAAATGTTTTAATCATGGAGTAGATTTCATTCAATCAAGTAAATTCTTCTTGATTTTCAAAATTCAATCAACCTAATAAATTCAGAGTTGCTAATCATTCTCTAACATTTAACCATTTAACTATTATATGAAAAAATAATTCTTTCAACTTAGCAACAATTTGTTAAACGTATGATTTTTACTCTTACATTTGCATTCTTGTGATATTTATGACAGTATCCAAATATTAGCAATAACAGTTTTTATTCGTATCTTAAACTCTCAACCATTGATTTCAACTGTGAAGTAATCACTCGTTTGTAAACTAAGAATACACACACTTCATTTATAATTGAATACTGTTTTAAATGTCAGTACGGGGTTGTAAAGACTTTTGGATTTCATTGAAATCATGAACAGATCTAAGTAATACAGTTGTTCAGTCCCCAACACCAATCATGATATATTGCGGACAAGTTAACAGCATACATACCACATATCTCTACAATGGTGCTACAATATCATGAGGATACAAGTTTCCATAAGAAGTAGTAAGATAGCTCACATTCATCTTACATTTACACAACAAGTATAAATATACTCTGCTAGAGGGTGATTTTATATTGGCTTTCAGGAGAACCGTATGTCATTCAGGGTATTATAGGACCTGAAAGCCATGGCTCGACACTACAGAGTAACTGCACAGGCACTAAGATCCATGGTGAATCAGAAATCTACATAAAATGTATTTTATTAGAAATCTTAATGTTGGGATAGAATAAAGTAGAAAATTATTTTTCAATTCAGTGCTATGTTCGCTCACTAAAGCATTCATTTTTACTCTGTATAACACTGATTCAATATAATATTCTTTATAGTACAATATTCATTTAGTATAGGATACAGCATTCATTAGTATTAATTCAATGTAAAATTTATTAAGTATTGTGACTATTTTCAATTCTGTTTAATATTAATCGATTATCAGTTTTTGTCTTCTTCCATACATTTTACCACTAAGGGTTTACCACCTACTCATAATCCATTTTTCATAGTTATAAAACTTTGAACAAGGAAGAAGTAGGAGCGCTTCCTCAGTCATTTTCAGGATTAAATCTTACGACTTAAAATGAGTCAGAAGACATCTAGTGGAATATGATACAAATCGAATGATCAGCATAGGGTTGTTAGACCACCATTGAAGACCTGAAAGCACTGAACGGCCCTCAGCAGTGTGCATCCACGATCCCCCTCGCGGGATTCGATTTCAGGGCCTGAGGGACAGGTTTTCAATGGTGGTCCTACATCAATCGGTTCGTGATCTCGATCAAAAACAATTCGAATGACCGAGTATTTGTTAAATGTTAAAGGTCAAGTAATTAATCATCCAACCCAACCAATCAAACACAGCTTGAAAATGACCTTAAAATTAACAATATAGTTACAATAATTGTTGTAACGATAAAGTTATTAGAAGTGATATAATTTCTAAGAGTATAAGTTTAATTATTCAAAATGAAATTATTGTTGAATTTTCAACAGTCATATGATTAAAATATATATTATCATTTATGGCGCCAGGATACCAACCCACATTTTGTCCTACCATTATAGAAAAGATTTGTCATTCAGATGAAATCGTTTAGTGACAGACAATACGAAACAAGACTAAGTTGTAAATAGTCTTTTAGAAACTTTATCTATCCGGTAAGATTGTTATACTTTCCTTTCCTTTCCTTTCTTGATCAATTTATATCACTAAACTTTGCGATACATATGTGATGTTAATTTCGTTAGGCTGGAAAACAGTTAGTATTAAGCACTTTTTAACTTAGATTTCACCAGGATTATGGAGAACCAAAACTCTCCTTATGGATTTGAGTAAGTATCCCTCAGTACCGTAACCAGAAATTTTACTACTAAGCTATTCACATTCTGATTGAATTCTAGTTGAAGTGAGATTTTTAAAGTGATTGATCACTGAAAAGTAATGAACTTCCATGTTTATCTAGTTCTTAGTATCCCATTTCGAGAAGTCATTACAGAGTAATTTGTAAACATTACTTTCAAATTTTTCATATTTTAAGCAACGAACAACGTGAATTGTTACTCACATTTACAATTCTAATCAAAACAACTAAGTTCTTAGAAATCACCTTCTTACTTATCCCTCGTAAAGCATAGGCCGTGTGTTTTCTAGTTTTCTTTTATAATTTCATCGACATCAATTCATATTGCTCTTCATTTATTCGCAAGATACATCTACGTCAATATGATTAAATCGCATATATTGTTGATAAAGTCTACTTTAACACTTGATAAGCTTCCAACTTAAAACTCAGCAGTTTCATTATACACACACGTAGTTTCAGCTCTAGGCAAGCAAAAACAACAATGATTAACAACCTTTGTGAAATCGTAGAATTGAAAGTCAGTCTGTAATTGAATTAGTTTCGGAATATATTATGCTTGCTTAGTATCAATGACCTCGAAGTGGAATATGAATCAGGGCTAAAGTCGACTCCAACTAGGCTGTATGTGACAACAGAGTAACATTCACTATACTAAAATTTTTTTTGAGAAACAGCACTCTGTGAGGCTAAAGTTCTCAAGATCACGGAAATCAGTGCTGGATAACAGCGGATGAAGTAATATTGAAAATTCAATACTATCAATCTAAACTGCCTATATTTGAAGTAGCAATAATAATTTAAATTTATTGATTACCTGATAGGTAAGCTTCTCCGTCAATTGTGATTGGATTGGTACATGCTGTGTTGTATCGGAGAATCTTGCTTTTCCCTTTGTGTATATTGAGACCTCAGCAGCAATAGGTCTCAATATACACAAAGGGAAAAGCAAGATTCTCCGATACAACACAGCATGTACCAATCCAATCACAATTGACGGACAAGATTTGGAAGATGTAAAAACCTTTACATATTTGGGCAGTATCATCTATGAACACGGTGGATTTGATGCAGATGTGAAGGCACGGATTGGCAAAGCAAGAGCAGCATATTTACAACTGAAGAATATCTGGAACTCAAAACAATTAGCAACCAACACCAAAGTCAGAATTTTCAATACAAATGTGAAGACAGTTCTACTGTATGGGGCGGAAACCTGGAAAACTACGAAATCCATCGTCCAAAAGATACAAGTGTTTATTAACAGTTGTCTACGCAAAATACTTCAGATCCGCTGGCCGGACACTATAAGCAACAACCTACTGTGGGAGAGAACAAATCAGATCCCAGTGGAGGAAGAAATCAGGAAGAAGCGCTGGAAGTGGATAGGACACACATTGAGGAAAGCACCGAACTGCGTCACAAGACAAGCCCTCATATGGAATCCTGAAGGCCGAAGGAGGAGAGGAAGACCAAAGAATACATTACGCCGGGAAATGGAGATAGATTTGAGAAAAATGAACAAGAATTGGATGGAACTAGAAAAGAAGGCCCAGGACAGATTGGGTTGGAGAATGCTGATCGGCGGCCTATGCTCCATTGGGAGTAACAGGCGTAAGTAAGTAAGTAAGTAAGTGATAGGTTTTTTTCTAAGCAAATGTTTTACCACCATCAATTACCTGTAAACCAACGATTTTATCGATAAACACATCGATAATGTGTTTTACATTCAACACCAATATCAATCAATCAAATAGTCAATCAGATTTAAAAACGTCTGAAACCGATGTATAACACTGGTAACAACGTTTTATGAGAATGGTGTTGGAGATGTAGTACATCTAATACATATGTTTAATATTCTACAAGTCAACGGTTAAAGGCTTGTTCCTAGGTACGTTTTCCTACTATTTCTCACATATTATATTTTTAAGAGTTTATTATTCTAAATTTAATCATCCTAAAGTTCCATGTTCAATAAAATAACGACGCCAAATTGAGTTAATCCATCAACATCACGATGCTCCTACATTTTATAGTATCATAACGATATATATTGACATGTTTTTTCCTTATTAACGCGTTTCATATTCATTTTATATTTAGAATATACATCCATATATCTCTTATTTCCAAATCTTACTCTATTTCAATTTTATTCCAGATAAGGCATCGTAGTCCTTCTGAACAAGCAGGATTACGTGAAGGTGATCATGTATTGGCAATTAATGGTGTAGATGCATTGGATATGTCACATGCGCAAGCTGTACAAATTATTGATTTTGCATCTTATACATTAGAAATAATAGTAGGAAGGTAAGTGATGATTCGTTGATATTATTTAATTTGATGTTTCTTCCTATATTGAGATTTGAAAATTATTATTAAATGACTAAGTGTAAATCAAAATATACTCGATTATAGGCCACATTATCTGTATGGCTATAACAATCGGCTGTCTGAAAAAAAAGGAGCTCATCGATCAAAATCTGGATTCCTTGCTAGTAAAGCCACAGCTTTTCGTTAAGTCATCAAAAGAGCTTTGAATTCAAGTTCTTTACTTATCATTACTAATCCGTGGGAGTTAAAAATTCATCGGTCGATTACTCTACTGTCAACACTACTTGACTTATTTGATTGAACAGTTAATAACTTGCAATATTTGGTTAGAAATCTATTTATTATCGATACCATGCTAACAAACACTATAAAATGAAATGATTTAGATAACATTCGAAATGTGAGGATAGTTATCGTTTTTCCAATATTCAGCAAAAGAGAAATTTCTAGCATATTTAAGGATTTTTCCGCTTATTTAGCGTGGGAATACTGAATGAAAGAGTTCAATTCTCGTCGACCTAATATAGCAGCTTCTGTACTCCTATGTGAATGTATTCCAACATTTCAATAGATATAAATAATTCCGATGGCATGTGATGAACGAGTTATCTTTTATATTGTCTTAGTAATTCCATTTTTATCCTAAGTAACTGTGACCTTATCTGGATGTTAAATGCCAGCTCAGTGGTCTAGAGTTCAAGCATCCGCTCACTAGACCTAAGGTCCTGGGTTTAATCTTACTTGCTGGATCATGGACGCGCATTGCTGAAAAGCTCTATACTAGGACGAAACGGCTGTCCAGTGCTTTCAGGTTTCCAACAATAATCTAGATAAGATCAACTCATGAATTTAACTATTAAAAAGATCTATTATATGACAATCTACCATGCTGAACTAGTTTACTTCACATGAAACTATAAAAGTATTAATTCAATCAGTTTCAAAAATGTAATCACAACAAAATCTCACTTCACTACTAACTTTATAATTTTATAAGTTTAAAATGATCTTATTGTAAATTGGATCAGTTATTGTTATTTTTCATTCGTAGATAGAAAACTGTGTAATGACTATAAAAATTTGATCACTTCTAATTCGAGAATTTAGAATTTTCTTGTTTATTCAACCAATTAAACTTATATTAAATTATTTCATCTCATAATCAACTACAAATTATTCGATGTCTATTCGAGTTATTGTCGAGTAAAATGTTATTATACTATTGTTTTCTATACCTTGAATATATATATATATATATATATATATATATATATATATATATATATATATATATATATCAGAATTTAAACGTTCATTTGGCATACTGTCTGACCGAATACTCTTAGTCTACTGAATTATTTGAATCGAATTGGCTGAAAGATAAAAGATAATCATAGTAAATAGTTATTTTTCTTTTTAGGAAAAATCTTCCTTCTTTCCATTCTAATGAATTTATTTGGCAGTAGGATAAACGAAATCGTTACAAAGGAATAGTTGACTAAAGAAAAACATCTTCAATGTACTTGGCTTCTCATGAATACTTGTAGAATTTGTATGTCTAACTAGCGAAGATCAATGGTTAATCAGTTAATTTTCGCAAACTGTATTGACTAACATTTAAGCCCAGCAACAAAATATGTATTCGTTGTGACAAACCTCATTAAATGCTTTATTTAGTGATACTGAATATATTTGTAAGTCTTAAATATTAGTAAAAACAATTACGTATTAGGGTCTTCAATTAGCCTACATTACCTGAGAATTAAGGAACGATTGAACTATACGAATACAGACTGTTGTACTGCGTACTCAACAATGGCAGCTGGTATGCACCCGCATCAACAATCAACTGCTAACCCAGGAAGGAGACATGGTGTAGAATAAACTAAGTATTTAACTAGGATAGCTGTTATAAGTATAACTCACTATGTGGTAGAAACTTAGGCATGAAGTTGAAGAACATAAAAATGTAGCGAACTAAAAGTAATGACAATATCACAAAGATAAAAGATAATACGAAATATCGAAGTGGAACAAACGTACTCACAGTTATTGTTACTAGTAAGAGTTTAACTCAATTATTGAAAAAATGAGTAATTCCGTGATCCTTTTAACAGTCTCGCATAGGTGCGATCATGAATTGATCATTGTTAGACCACAACTGGAAACTTGGAAGCATCATATAACCATTATGTCCTTGTATGAGACCCATCAGCAGTGCGAGACCAAAGGTTCTGAGTTCGAATCTCGCGGGTGGTATCGTGGATGCACACTAAAGAGGAGTTTCATACTCGGACGAAAAGGCCATCCAGTGTTTCCAGGTTCCCGATGGTGATCTAACAGTAATCTATTTATGATCTCGACCAGAAACTCAACAATTCCCACAACCTTATACTGATGGTTTCATATACTATTTTTATGATAATAGTTCCTCTGAATTTTTGCGAATTTGCACATTTTATCTTTATCTACTTCATACATTTTTTGTAAAGATATGAACGACATAAAAATACAGAAACAGTCTATATGGATAACAAAGCTTTATTATCTAAACAAAAACCGCAAGAGATCACTACAACTGAATTGCAGTTATTCTGGGAGAAAGAAATGCCACTGAAACCAGCTCGTCGAAATTGGCCACCTCCACCAAAACCCGTACAAGAGTACAACATTCCACCTCAGCCAGCATCAGTACAATCTAAACGTCCGCCATTAGTACAATCTCATTCAGTTTCAATACATGTACCTGCACAAAAACCAGTGGCTATTCCAACACCACCTCAAGTACAAACAGTACATATACCACCTCCAGTAAGACAACCATCAATTGATCCACCTATTATACCTCATGATCCAGATGTTACTAGTGTTTCTGTGAAACAATTGATGCGAGAATTTGATGTACCACCGATTGCACCAGAGCTTAAAAGTAGGTTATTTAGAAAGAAAAAGAAATGTGTTTTTGCATGAATTGTAACAATCTACAGGAAATTTTAAATATTTCTATGTATCATTACCATGGTTTGATTTGATCGTTGATCATTAGGTGGATTGTTATAATAGAGTTGATATATTTGTAATATTTCAGTTAGTGGAAAAACTAAATTTTCTAATGCTTCGTAACCCAATGTAAGTGAATTCTTCAGGAAACAAATAAGATTAACAAAAGTTTAAATAGTACAAGAGAATAGTAAAAATATTCTGTACAATCGATTGAAAGACAAGTCTGATCAAGTTAATGTCATGTCAATACGATAAGGGTGATCAGATCTGTTTTGGGATTGATTGTACTCAACAACTTTGCTTTGTTCTTTGGTACTACTTAACCTTTCGTTAACTAAATTTATTTGTGCATTCTTTGGAGAAATCGGTAACACTGAGTTACGAAACGTCACGAAATTTAATCTGTTTCTACTCATTGCAATAGTACAAATGACCAGACTTCATGGACTTATTAGTTAATCAACTGTCCTAATGAAGCAGGAAGAAACCGTCCAAATAAATTTTATTTAGTAGGCTTTAGTAGGTTTTTTATAAGGTTTAAATTGATTTTCTGTTTAAACCAATATCAACCACGGAATCACTGAAGATCAAGAAGCCCTAATTCACCTATTTCGTCCAAATATGGAAATTTGCTGTACATTTTTCTATTCATAATACACTCTTCCACACATTTCATTCAACTTAATATTTCGAACATGTGGAGACGGCTCCCGGAGAACTCATGAAAGCTCTGAAAGAGCCGAAGACATTCCATCCGATCACCGTTTGGATGAACACTTCAGAATCTCGACGTGTAGTTTCCCGTTTGAACAAATGCTAAGAACTACCGCATGCGGATTTCGTTCTTATAAAAAACGATGAATATCTGAGTGTTATGTACCATATTTGACACTGAAATAAGATTTCCTCTTCCGTCTTCTTACTTAGCACTTGAATGGTTCTCATGTTCGAGTGCTCAAGGCGTACGCGGTATAGCAAAGATTCAAGTGCTAGATGCAACAGAATAAATTAAAATTAAGTAAAATAATACTTAATGAGATTATTTTAAATTTCTTTGTTAATTGTTCTATCTAGAAAAGAATTATGCTGATTCATCATTCTATTCTGATCCAACAAAATATTATCCAACAATTGAAGAACAAATTGAAATGGCCAGGAGAGTTGCGAATAGTTTACATGATCCATATAACTTTGAGTCGAAGGGTGCATGTATGTTTGAAAAACAAAGGCAACGAGCAGAAAAACATGTGAAAGAAGGTCCAGAACCTCAACCAGATCCTATTGAGTTGGTTAGTTATCATTTTTTGATAATGTATAGATTAAATAGTACCTGAATTAATTAGTGGAGTAATAACTTAGTACATAGAACTCTTCGATACTTAGCCACTAAGTAATATGTCTGCCTCGTAGCCAAGTATCTGAATCTTCAAGTGGCAAATATGCTAATAGGGTTAAACATTACAACTATTATTAAAACATAGGAACTGTTCTATACGTACATCCAAAGAGAGAGCGTTATCTTCTAAACTACTACTAAGCACAAATCCAGTGAACAGTATTTCTAATTTCAAACGATTGATGATATATTACAACCATAATTATCAAAAACTGAAAAATCTCCATATTGTGATTTAGAACATGTATAAACATAGAATATATATAAATGAACAATATTATTTTCGATTAGATCCTCATCAGGCTTTATTCTAATATCCAGCTCGAATTGGGGTTAACAATCCAAATCTTTGTGTCCATACGATATTTGTAACACCTTTATCTCCTTCTTGGCCTTAATAAGTGATTTTATTTATTATGATTTTCCGTGTTCTTTCTTCGTTTATTTTTCTTCACTCCCACCATTTTCTTTTTTCTCAAATATACGTTTCACAGTCCAATTATCTGAACACTTCTTATTACGCAATCTCATAATTCTTATGAATGTTATTTCAGTGTCTATATTTTCTATTTTTCCCATTATGTAACATTGATTCAAGCCTTTGTTATTCTTATCACAATTAGTATACCTGTCATCACACTATCAACTTGTCACTTATTATGTTTATCTATTCCACTGTGATCATTGACTCAAAAACTGTCTTCAATGGTTAGATAATTTCATATCTGCATTTAAAGATTCATTTATAATCGAGTAAAGCATGATAAGGATCTAATCGAAAACAATATTGTTCGTTTATATATGCTGTTCTAAATTATCAAAATTGACGATTAAAAAAATATCGATAGAGGAGTTTTGTGGAGATTGATATAATTAATTAATTATGTTTGTCGTAATATCCTATTATTTAGTAAAAGTATTTGTTTTTGGTTTGGCTATTCCCTTGTTGTCAGTTGAGATACAATTGAAAACTAAGAATGACTGATCAGTAGTTTTTGTCTCAAATTGAGACTCCTTAGCAGTTCTTTAAAGATCTAATCTATGAGCTTCACATCCTTCACTTAGTACCTCTAGTGATTAGTTGAGATTATTTGAGTTCAGATTATAGAAGTGAATGTGACAACATGCGATAATAAAATAGGCTGAAAACAGAAAAATGATCAAATCAGAATTTAGTAGTTGATTCATCATAGTTTGCAACTACATGAAAGTTTTAATCTATAACCTCTCCGACTACTGAATCAAAAAATTTAACAATTGGGATGATCAAAATATCATCGAGGCAATGAGTTGGAATCCAGTAGTCCATATTTCTAAATTTAATTTATTAGCTAAACCAAAGTGTAATAAATTTAAAAGTTTCCATAGACCATAAATTTAGCAATAACTACGACATTACCAATGAGAAGGATTTCTGAACTCGTAGTAAAAAGCTGTAATCTTAAGAAGTTAGATGGTTATAGTAAGTTATAATGAAAGGTGAATGCTCACTATAACCGGCTGACTGAAATTGAAAATGTGAACAACTGGGATTCACATCTCTCCCATAAAAATAGCATAACCTCCTTGAGAACTAAAGATCTTAGTCTTAATCCCAGATTAGATCGTTGGTCCACATTACTTAGGGGTTCCAGTCTCTGAAGAAACCGTGATCCACTGTTACATTCCGGTTGACGTTATTTTGTAACAAAAACTGTCTCTTCAAGTCGAATATTCTCTATCATAAACAATAATCTCTTAGAAAATTACTATAAACGTGTTTAAAACATATTTATATCGATAAGCAGCAACCTGTGAGGTCCATCAAGTAAAACAGTAAATAACAGACGATACCCATTGCCATATGTATCTTGAAATAAAGCTGCTGAAGTTGGGAATATGAATCACTGAATAACAGTCAAGTGGCTCTTCCGCCAAACTGAATGTCTTGCATCTAGCATTCTAAAACTTTTTCGGTCATCCTTTGGGTGAGTGCTGGGATATTAGAGCACAATTTCTGTTTGATATTATAATTCAAATCCTAATTTATATTAAATTTTTGGGTTTTTTTCTGAATGTTGATCCGCTCTACACCAACATGGTAATATTAGGCAGTTTCAACTAATTCTAGAGGCTTAAATTAAATCGTTGCTGGAAATTACACTCAATTGTGCAGCATTCATTCATTAAACGAACTGAGATTTATCAGCAATTTCTTGATATTATTATGCTGATGGAAAATACTGTGAACAATCGTAGCCAAATGTTACGTCTTAGAATAATAAATAAGAACTTCAATGATTCAAAAGCTTTAGAAGCCATTTTGAGAAGAGAGAGAGACCTTTAATTAACAAATAGAATAAACGGAATCAATGTGAACATTTAAACATGTAGTAACGAAAATCTTCTTAACTAGCCAGGAATAATGAAACAAATTAGAACTGAAAATAAACTTTAAATTTTAAGCTAATATTAGACTAATTGACACCTCAAACACATTGTACAAATACAAATACTCAGTAACATAATGTATATACTTGGTAAATAGTTACGGAATACACATCAGTTTACAGGCTAATCAGACTGATGCAAAAGGAATGAAACATTAAAAAGACATGGTCAAATTATTTTGACCGAATATTTGTCACCAAGACATTAAGAATAAGAAGTATATGATGCAAGCGAAACATATATTTACAAGTATTAACATTTTAGGGTATACAATTGTCATGGGAGCATACATCATTATAGTTATCAATCCTATAGGCACAGAGTTGACATTAAAAAAACTGAATAAGAAGGACAATGAATATGCAAAGAAATCGGCAACAGTTATACCGTAATGAGAGTGTTGGAATGATACTGCATAGGGCGTGGTATTTATGAAAAGTATTTTTTTGAAAGGCGGATTGGAATATCATATTTGCAAATGAATAATACAGTGAACGTTTACGAGTCTACAACTGGAAGTAAGAAAACGAAAGTAGATTACATGCAACAGCAATAAGAATTCATGTGGTAAGTCTATGGTCATGATCTGTTGTTTCATAACCTACTGTCGTAAGTACATTTTGTTGAAAGTAAGTAAATGTCCAATGTACATTCTTAAAATCACGAAGTGAAAGATGTAATTAAGAAAAGGTTTAGGATTATGCATGTAGAGTAAGGGTTAGCGAAATTAACCATACTCAATGATAACAGTAATAACAAATTCAAAGTCGTTATAATCTCATTAGAAAAGTGAGATGTAGTCTCAGCTGTAACCAAATGTAAGGTAATCACGGAAATGAGTTAATCATCAGTGTGTCATACAAACAAGGATATCAATTTTATTTACATGGATAGACTGTAGCGACCAGTTCCAGACTGTTGAAAGTCTGCTTGTAAAAAAATTCATGCACATGTATAAATTTAACCATGGATCAAATAAATATTTAACAAGTATCGATCAGTTTTTTACATTTATATTTTAAGGCAAGTCCTGAAGAGTTGGAATATATGTCACCTCCTGAAGCACCTCCACCCCCGCCTCCACCACCACCAAGTTTTCCTGGACTTCAACCAACTAAAAAGCCGGTGGTTCCTCCACCCCCGCCTATGGCATTCGCACCAGGTCAGCCTAAAACAGTACAAGAATTTTTAGAGAAAATTAAAATATTCCCTAAAAATTTGCACACAGATTTAGATCCACAAAAATGTTTCGATATTGCTACAGCTTTATATACATCAGATAGTCGTGGTGCTAAAATGTTTGCTAAACGTCATGCTAGAGCAATAAAATGGGATGCCCAAAATCCAGAAGATGGTGATGAATCAGGGAATAGAATGAATGTAACAGTAGCATCTGGTCCTGGACCAACTGTACGTAGTCATGATCAATTAAAAATGCCTTCGAAACTTCCACAATCAAAAACACAAAAACAACTTCAAATGAATCAGAGACAACAACAAGCTCCTGTAAAGCAAAATAATAACAATAATAATAATGGAGAGTTGGACGCATATAGAAAGTCATCTATTTCATTAGCTACAAACAGTTCGGTAACTACACCGACACCTTTGGACAATTTGATTGGTCCCACACCAAAGCCATTTATACCAATGAGTTCAAACAACAGTGAGTTGTGTAATGTGTTTCTAGAATAATTCATCAGTAAAAATGAAACAAGATTTGTTTGTATAAACCTTAAAAATTCATAACTTCAAATGGATCACTGTCTATTTAAAACACCATGGTACGTATAATAAGTTACTTCCCCAGTGTTTTGCTAAAAATAAAAATCAACCTGATGATATTAAGTGGTTGAAGGCATTCTATAATAAACCTTAGACGTACGTTTTGTGCTTGATAGTACGCACCAGCAAAGCTTGTTTGTTATCTTGTAGAAACTCATGCTTTCTGAGGGATTCGAACATGTATCACTTTTTTCACATTAAGAGATATTATTACGCAACATTTTAACATGGTGTGAGGTCGAATCACTTAAACTAGTGATCACACAGAAACTTAGTCGATTGAATTCAATCTGTACTAATCAGCTAGATGTACATAAAATTGGTTATTACTCAAATGTAAATTTATCTAGTGACCATCTTTACCTACTAGACTGTCAGGTATAAATTTAGTAAGTCATAGAATAGTACAATGAAATATGTATTATCAATTTAGGTGTTGTGAAGATTGTCAAGTTTTTGATTGAGATCATGAACCGATTGATGTTAGACAACCATTGAAAACCTGGAAGCACTGGACGGCCGTTTCGTCCTATTGTGGGACTCCTCAGCAGTGCGCATCCACAATCCCGCTCGCGGGATTCAAACCCAGGGCCTTCAGTCTCGCGCGCGAACGCTTAACCTACTCGACCACTGAGCCGGCATCCAACGGTGTCAATGTCTAACCTCAACCAATCCACGAGGTTAGACATTGACACCGTTGGATGCCGGCTCAGTGGTCGAGTAGGTTAAGCGTTCGCGCGCGAGACTGAAGGCCCTGGGTTGGAATCCCGCGAGCGGGATTGTGGATGCGCACTGCTGAGGAGTCCCACAATAGGACGAAACGTCCGTTCAGTATTTCCGGGTTTTCAATGGTGGTCTAACATTAATCGGTTCATGATCTTAATCAGAAATATATATTCACTGTTTCTGAACATATATATATATATATATATATATATATATATATATATATATATATATATATATATATATATATATATATATGTTATACGATGTAATTAACGATTTATGGTTAGGTAGGTGGCATACATTTTTACTTCAAATACATTGTATTTCAGTAACTTCACTAACTAATTACATAAAGTGTATTTATTAATTTCATAATTAACTTTCCAATTTGAATTAAATTTGCTATGGATAGTTGTGAACAGTTAACAACCACATAATAGAAATGTTCTAGTTTTTCATAGAATACAATAGAAATGGTTCATTTTATTCACTCTATGTATTCTACTTATTATTTGAATGACTTCGCTAATTAATAACTTTATTGGATAAAAAAGAAAGGGAAATTTACAAGTACCTTAGCAACATTCATACAAATATCACTACTTAACGAATTGTAAGAAAAAAATATGTTTTCCTGTAGTTAAAGTCCATTTTAATTTTAGTTCTAAACATAAATAAATTGATAATGAGAATGAATAAATCGTTCAATGTTACCAGGTTAATTAGTTGATAAGTTAGTTAGTATTTTGATCAGTAATCTGATAGTCAACAATCAAAATCCATTACTAAACAAGGTTTTTGTAGAAAGATGAAAATATCACGTCTACCGTAAGATGTACAGGTCCAACATTCACTCATTGGCTGGATCATAGTCATACGATATGGATGAGACTGTTAAGAGTACACGTTTGATTGATGTCAGGAGAAGAGATTCGATAATAAAATTATTGTTTATAATTTCTCCACCTCAGCGTTTACTGTTTTGGCTTTCACTAGTTTTATAAGGTTCGATTAATCATATGATTTGACTGGTAAGGTTAAACTTGGGAAAACTCAATCCACATCGGTTGAGAACACATTCCTTTCTTCTATTATCAGCCCTGCGTCCAAATAAGAGAATAAGGGATGGCAGCATTTAAACTTCTAGTATCATGTTACATATACTAAGTATCTCCATCTCAAACATATTAGTTTAAATACATAAATTACGAGAACACAACACACCCTAAATAGGGAATTATACTTAATATGGCGTGTGTTCCAGCCAGATCGGTTGATAAAGCTTTATCTGATGTGGCGTTCAGGCATTTTTGGAAAGGATTCCGTGTTTCAAAGATCGAGAAACCTATTGTGTGGATGAGATTTAGTGCGGAACCGTGGCCACGCAGGTCTTTCGGTAAGAGGAATTTTTGAAGATTTTACTTACCCTGGATTGGTATAGTCTACATGCATACTAAGTTATACACAGAGGTATACTTACCCTGCAAACAAATGTACTTTGTATGCACACCGGTGACACACAGGTTTTATGTTCTACCTGATAGATTAGGCCGCTGATTTCATTAGACATAGGGTAGACAATATTTCAGCCAATATTTACGTTTTACGACACCATACGCATAACCTTTGCATACGTCTTCATACATGAACTACATAAGCCCGAGGACTTCTGCAATTTGTTGTTTGACTCCTGTTCCAATGTGAACTTGATGTCATCGAAGACGTTGTTGATCATACAAGCTGATCAATAACTTCTGCAATTCATATACATAAGTATACACATCAGGTGCAATTCAGTGAACTTCTAGTTGGAACCCGGATAATCAACGTCACGACAGTTTGGTTGATTATTCCTATCTCCATCAACCGCTTAATTTTGTTACCAGGGTTGCTCCTACTGTTTAGCACTGCCGAGAGAAGACCTTAGGTCTGATTTTGTTACCCACGTTTTACTTACAATCACGATATACGTAAAAGAGAACGAAGTAAACGGTGAATAATCGATCAACTCCAATATTACTCAATTATTATAAATATTATTACGTCATTGTGAATTTATTTACCGGTATAAACGAATAACACAATATTCAAAATGACAAGTTCACTGTTTTATATTATACATTTATTCTATTAATCGCTAATTGTTAAGTTTTAGCTAGTTTGACATAAATGAATAATTCAAATGATTTTGTTTTATTTTATATTTTTTCAAAAAAAAATAATGTAGATACACCCTTTGGACAAATGAATAACAATTCGAATATTACTAATGGTAATAATAATAATAATAGTAGTAATACGATCGAAGCAAATCGTCTCAATAATCCAAGTGAATCTGGTTGGCGACCAGTGAAATTTCGAATTGGACAAACTGCAAATTAAATTAACTGTTTGTTTTTGTTTTCGTTAGAAAATCAAGTTTACAGGGAATAGAGTTTTATTTTATGCAACATTTTGTCATTTATATACATATAGATAGACTTAATAATAATTTGCTACGTGATTATCATTAATGCTTACATTGCTAATATCAGTATACATCGATATTAGTACCGTAATAATAACTATGCATTGTTAGTTTTCTCTTTATGCCTTGCATATTTTTTAGCCACAATAACCTGTTCATCGTTTTATCCATACCCTAATGATTGTTTATGGGATATATAACACATCTATTCTCTGTTGTGTAACATGTGTGTGAGTATGTATCTCCACGTCCTATTTATTCATTAACGTTTTACATTTACACTAAAAGATAAACCATAACCTTTTTGTATCGTACACAATCATTATTACCTTGATGTCAGTCAGTATAATTTACATCTATGATATAAAAAGATTGACAAAAATGTACAGAACACAATCCTTAAAAGTTTTGAATGTAATAGAGGAAACCCCAATGAATTAAATTATAATAAGTTAGCAAGAAGCATTGAAACATTAAATATACATTATGAATTATCGGCTAAAAGCTCAATCTTTTAGAATATATTTATTCATCTATATATATAGGGACACTTTGTATTTTCAGTTAAACTAATCAACTCAATGTTCAACAGACTGGGTAAAACAGAAAATAAAAGAAAAACTGTCAGAAGGTATATATAACAGCTGTCCTTTAATCTATAACCGGCTGCAATAAGTACAATCATTGCTTAGTTTATTTCCTTCACTTACTTTCAGCTGCTTATCTACCCACCCACATTCATACACAAATAACTATTTGCTCATACTACCTACTCGTCTCTTTCTCTCTCATTCTTTCTTCATATTTTTTTGCTTATTCAATCTACTTATCTGTCATATTCTTCACTTATGACAGAGTTTAATACCCTATAATCTAATCTTGTTATATTATTGAGTATTTTGACTGTTTTGTTAGAAAGTATAACAATTGATTTGAGTTAATAATCTTATTAAAAGTTTTATTTCGTTTCTACGCTACTCACTTCAGTATTTGGTATTTCTGTAATTTGAATACAAAGATTTTTAAAGAAGAGAATAGATAATACCCAGCTATTCTATGTTGTGCTTTTTTTCATGATTAAACAAAGAAACATTGTTTTTCTAAACATGAGAGAGATGAAATGTTAATTATTTAGGTAACCTGACAGATTTCAAGTGGATGTCGCCTAAGTATAGTCAAATAAATTGACATAGAATATATCAGTATATTGTTACACTTGAATATCATAAACATACTGTAACAAGATGTCTCAATAAGTACAAGGTAAACTGAAAACTTTATTATCTTGTTACTTACTAATCTACAAGTAAATAGTGTGTACCAACTTATAAATAATAACCTATTTTGGACTGATAAGACATTAGTCTAAATTATGTATGATGGATGCTGTTCAAGGCCACACAACCTTTTCTATTTGCGGTTGAAAAAATCTTTCATTTGAAAGTAGAAAGATGACGTAGACTGGCTAACAGTGGACATCATGAACGTGAAATTTATCTAAACTAATGAATGTATTATAAGTGTAATTAATTAAATTCAGACAAACATTAAAATTGTATAAGATTATACTAGATATGCTGGCGGGAACATAATTTATGGACGAACCGACGAGATTGGAAATGTGATGTCTTTGATCACACATATACTTGTCAGGGCATTGTATGAGAAAATTAATAAAGGTCAATTAAATGAAAGCTAAAGTAAAAAAGTTAACAAAGGGGATAGAAACAATTTCACATCATGTAAAATAAGAATAATCCTAGGCCATAGAGTGATTTAATAATTACTAGGGTGTATTCAAGGTTACGATAAATTAGTTTTGTGCACATAAGGAGGGTTTAAATTTACGAATAGCCAAGGCTTCAATAAACCTGGGAATTTATCCTTGATAATTTCTATACAACGTTTTAAAAGCTAATATTAATGTCAAAATTGAAAATATTGAGTCTTGGATTCTGGCGCGAAATTCTTTCCTCTGTATGGCTGAATAGTATTTTATCATTGCAGCTGATATCAGTTCGTGAAGAAAACTGTATTTCTAAATCACGATCCCAATTCTTTACACTAATTTATAACCCATTTTGACCCTAATACGTAGGTGAATTTTATCAAAGTTACTTTAAAGTCACTTAAAGGTCGTTCATAAATAAGTTACATCGATTTACATATGAAATATTTGCATTCGCTGCAAATACTCTTTCATTCTAAATAGATTAACAATAATCTCATATCAGAGAGTACTGTGGCAATAGCATCTTAATAAATAAATGAAAGGGTTCTATTTAAATTTGGTATTCACTTACTTACTTACTTACTTACTTACGCCTGTTACTCCTAATAGAGCATAGGCAGCCGACCAGCATTCTCCAACCCACTATGTCCTGAGCTTTATTTTCTAGTTCCATCCAGTTCTTGTTCATTTTTCTCATGTCTATCTTCATTTCTCGGCGTAATGTGTTCTTTGGTCTTCCTCTTTTCTCTTGGCCGTTAGAATTCCATGTGGGGGCTTGTCTTGTGATGCAGTTGGGTGCTTTCCTCAATGTGTGTCCTATCCACTTCCAGCACTTCTTCCTAATTTCTTCCTCTGCTGGGATCTGGTTTGCTCTCTCCCATAGTAGGTTGTTGTTGATAGTGTCTGGTCAACGTATCCGAAGTATTTTGCGTAGACAACTGTTAATAAACACTTGTATCTTCTGGATGATGGCTTTTGTAGTTTTCTAGGTTTCCGCCCCATACATGGTATTCAATTAGCTCAGTTTATATTTCAAAGGAATAAAGATAGTTTACTCGTCTGTTAACATTAAGAATAAACATTAAAGCTACACAGTGTAAAAAGAAAGACATAAGTGAAATAAAGAGAGAACAAGATATGTAGAATAGCATTTTATCTCCAGGCTTCCTATCAGTTGCTAATGACCTAAATTTACATTAGTGATATTATTCTAAAGAGATTTTTTTATGACATACCAATGAAGTTTGGTTCAAAACGACATAAATAATAAGAGGACACAAAATATGTTATATATCAGTTAAGATTTATAAGTATTTATATATTGAAAGTGCAGCTATAAAAAGAAGGCAAGTGAAGTTGTAGGTGACAACAAAAAGAGATGATAAATGAATGAAAACAATGTGTTAACAACTAAGTGGTAATCATGGTACTTAGTTGACATAACATTAAATTTAAAACCATGAATGAACATCAGTGGGATTTTTTTATTTTAAGTTATAAAGTACAATAAAGAAATAAATTGATTGACTATATAACTATCTTATCAATGGCAATAAGAGGTTTACTATACTTTCTTTCTGTATACAAAGATCAGATCGAAAGAATTTTTTGAAAATGATCTTTGAAAAACGGATTAAAAGTGGCGTTTGCTGCTTGTCAATTATTTTTATCGATTTTGAGATATCCACATCGTGTTCACTGTACATTATATATCTAGTGAACGCAATTTACAAGGAATATGTAAGGAAAACATTTTAGATATCGTTCTTTTAGTCCTTCCTATATACGTGCTTTCACAAGTACATTTAGATTCGTAAATGGATGAGAAGGTGACATCAGGAGGGTATCGATCAACTATTTATTGGTTTAAGGAATATCTATTGTTATATACCAAAAATAATTGAGTTGGAGGGAGGCTTCAATATTAGTGCCCTGCTGTCCTTTACACAATGCAGCTTTTGTAAAGCTAATTGCAGTAAAGATAACAAGGACTTTGACAAATGTTATGGAAAACTCCACCACGGAACACACGCTTAAAGATTGATAGAACTGCAAATGATCTTACAGAAAGGTAGGTGAAGTTTCGTTCTTTGACCTACGTGGTTTAATCACGAAGCTTTAGTCACCAATCTTGAGAACATCATCAGCACTAATTTCAGATAGAGGTGATATAACCAGATTTTGCCAGATTATTGATAACCTCTACTGACAACCGTGGTTTTGATTGGTAGTTGTTAGCTCTTGTCCTATTGATTGCCATCCTCTTCGACCTGATTTGTTGACATGATAAATGTCCATGATTCTTCTAATTGGTTGATTAATTGGGTTGATTTCGGTATGTTTATTGATTTTCCATTGACCCAAGTCCCAAGCCTCTAAAATTCTCTTTGACAAATATTACGACACATCACAGTCAACTGTATCGATAACTGTCTAAGTATATTGATTTGAAAGAGGATATATTATGGGATTTGACATCTAGTTGGTGCTGAACTACTCGCAAATCTGTTCAACTTACATTTTATATTAAAATCATTCCTAAAATTACACTTCTATTATTGAAGTACGTTTAGGATAATTATATATCTATTTTTATATTTTTTTCTAGAGCATTATACAGAAATCTATGAACCCATAACTTAGTTAAAGGGTGGGGAACAATTAGGCTCTAGCTAACTATTTTTAGACCATGATGTATAGAACAATAAAAGATGTTGGTTACGGAGTAAATTGAATTAAGGCAATATAATAAGATGATTGCAGAACATTGACTTGTTTAGAGGGAAGATAATATGCGATTTATGACATGAAGTAAGACCTAACTAGTGTAAAGGCAAACCAGGAGGGAACCTAAAAAATAGAATGAGTAATTCATTATCACTTAAATGTTTGTTTATCTGACTCCACAATACGCAATATACAACTTACAATAAAAGTGTATGCCAACAATAGGTGCCTATGTCCAAAGTAAAAAGAACTGGAGCCACAAAAATGAGTTTTTGTACACACGTTACTTCGACTTTACGACAGGGAAACCAATGATAGACATCTAAAAATTTAATAAGCATGTTTAGAGGTTATTTCGTCTATGTCTAACTCCGATAGATAATATCCCGTTAACTGAGTGTTTATGTAGGCCAAATCTCCTAGCAGTATTACGAATTTACTCGACATTATTCAAAAGCCAAAACATCAGTTATAGAGATAGTATATGGTCAATAATTGATAAAATTCGCAAGCATGCAGAAAGCAAGCACACAGGGAAGCGAGTGTGAGAGAGTGTATGTGAGTGCAAAAGAATCCATATATGTTTATGAATGTTAATCGGTTGTGGATAAATTGTTGATTGTCTGTGTTTATAACCAATGGGAAAATAGAAAAAGATTGATATGCAGACATGAGTCTAATCAGACTCATCCATAATTTTACATGGTGGGTCAATTGTTTAAATTACAGCAAGTAGACAAATAATAAAATAGTTCAATAGGCTTACCATACATGTAAAATCACCTGCAATTAAACTTAACTCCGTTTCATAATTATAGCAGTCTACTTAGCGACCAATCAGAAAGAAGCGAGAATTATCATTTCCGTCATCTTGATAAGCAGTGGTGGTCGGCTTGCCTCGTTCTGCTTGTTTTTTTTTGGTGTAGCTGTGTAATTTGATAATTTAATGGGCTGAAATTCCCTAATTTACGTAGTATTCCAAGTGTTGGTGCTAATTCTTCTGATTCCGTTATGTTTTCTCGGTTTTTGCTGCTGCTACTCAAGTCAGTGTATTACTTCAGGCAAGCTCGATTGTTTTATGCCGTAAAATGTCAATCCCTTTTGTTTTGAGTATTATTTTGTAGATATTGGAAGCCAGAATTAGTTTTTTAGCTATAATAAATGTTGTTGCTGCCCGGAATTTTCTAAGTGTGCGCAAGTCCGTTCCGAATTGTCATATATGATGTTATTGAGAGTAGTGACAGAAAGCGATCACCATTTTGTTATTTTCTTTAAACTAATATTGAGTGCCCAGTAGTAGTGGGTACCAGTGATGTTTCTGAAAGGATTATAAAACCCAGGTACTTGAGAGCATGGGACTAAGCCAGAGATTCTATTGATCTATTGCGTAAGTTTTGTTATTTAAAATATAGCATATAACATTATTAGATGAGTTAGACGTATTACATCATGCGTGGAAGCAAGCTTAACAATGGAAAACCGGAAATCCGCTATCAGTTTGCAGTGTGTTTGTTAATTTGGCCATAAAAAGAAAGCCGGATGGCTATGGTCAGAGAGAAAAATGGTGAATAAATGTTATTATGCTCACTTTACTAGA